GGACGGACCGTGCTTCCCGGACGGATCGGGTCGTGACAACGCTGCCGACATCAGCAGCTGACAGAAGAGCCGCAGCATCAGCCCATTATCTCCAGCGTCTCTGTGAATCACTGAGTATTTATAACTAAAGGTGTTTATCTCAACTTTAACAACAGCTGAATAAAGTCAACCAGTGATTGAATGTGTGACGGTAAATGTTTGTTGCTGGGTTTGATGGGATCGCGTGTTTTTCTGTATAGAAAGTTCATAACTACAGAGCCTTTAGTTCAGATTGTGGAAAAATAGGATCATTTTGATCAAACCTGACACCAATATAGGTTTTATCTAAACACTAAAGCAGCCAAGAAATGATGCTGCATCAGAAGGTGAACAATGTTCCTGCAGACAAACGGCTTTATCTCTGGGCAGAGATGGTTGATCACTGAGGGACCAGCCGACCTGCTGAGGACCGTACTCACCCAGAGTCACAAAGAAGCAAAACAGGCTGTCTACGATGGTGTCCATGATGGCCTCCATGTCCGTGTCCTGGATGTCTGATCTGTTGATGGCTGCAAAGGAAGGCAGAGAAAATGTATCTCCAATAACAACATTCAGCCCAGTTCTGCATGTTTCTGTAACCAGTCAAGCAAAATGAAATTCCAAAGACTCAGTTCATCCATCAAACATCTGCTGACATAAAATAATAAAACATTTAAAACTCTGCATCAGAATGTGCATAAGGTCATTTTTAATGAATCACTGTTAACCGTTTTATCATGAATCATGTTTTCACCTGACGATACCTTTACTCTCCACAGAGAATGTTTCGTTTTTCCTTTTTTATTTTTGAGACTGATCTCATTTTATGAAGCTCGCAGAGAGAGAGAGAGACAGTCTGCAGCCTTAAAATCAGCTCCAGCCATTTTAGGTTTGGGAACTAATCCACCAGCAGAGCTGGTTCGTTAATCGACAGCATTGTGTTTCTGGTGATGCAGCTCCAGCTGTAGGGCCAAAGGTCAGCTGACCATCAGCTCCTCAGACTGAGCAGCGTTCAGAGCAGCAGGTCAGCAGGGAGGGAAGCGCTGTTTGTTGGAATAAAATGATGATGTTTAGGAGTTACCGTGGTAGGAGATGAGCTCCTTGTTCTGGTGGCACAGGATAAACATGTCATCCTCCAGGGTGATGAAGTTCAGGTACTGATCAAACACCTGCAAAACCAGCATGGAAACCATTATTAACCAAAAAATGACAACATCTGTACAAAACAGCCGGTGTTCTGTCAGACCAGCATACCCCGTCAGACCAGCATACCCCGTCAGACCAGCATACCCCGTCAGACCAGCATACCCC